ATATCACTTTCACCCAACACTGCCAACTGAATTAAAATGTCTAGTACCTCAATTTCAGGCTTCCCCCCCCCCAGTTTTGGAGAAGAACCAACCTGACCTGAATTTTCCAATTTCCTATTCTTTACCTACATGAGAACTATTCATAACAATGATGCTCTGTCGAGGACAGGAAACCTTGGTATAAAACCAACTTTTTTTTCATTTCAGTAATTTTTTAAAGGTAAGATACCCTCCCCAACCCCTGAAACCCACTCCTAACCCTGTTCAGAGTTTGAGGCATGGTAGAACTTGAGGGAAACAGGATAGAAGGAAGAAAGTTGTATTCCTTAGAAGCTTGTGACCTTCAGGTCCATCTTGAGAGGGGGATCTCTCCATCTCTGGAAAATTCACTCTTGCTTGATTCACATCTCAACATTTTCCTTGGCTCCTTCTTGAACACTGAAGTCTTGGGCGAGTACTTTGAAACCAGGGGATTCCCCACTCTCAGCTTTGAATATTCAGTACGATCCCTAGCAGCTCCCGTGTTGTAGTGAAAGGCACATTCCATCTTTACCATTGTAAAACCCTTTGGAGATGATGTTTTGGAGAAAAGTATCAGTCCCTTGGAAGTTAACCTAGTATTTAAACAACTCCAAACTCTTCTTTTTCTGATTAAAAATTAAACTCATAAACAACTACTTAATGTGGAAATGAATAAAATGGAAGTAGAAAGTCCCCCATAATTAGAACATCCATATGTCTTGGTTTGGCTGAAATAGTCAAGATGTTGACTGTGTTGGTTCAGCATGATTGCTGGGATAAAGTTGGTGCTGGGGACTGGACCAAGGACTCTGGGCATGCTCTGGGCACCCTACCACTGAGCCACACCCTCAGCCTTTTAGCACAATTGCTAATAGAACCTACTTTCACTCCCCAAAGGATCAGGTTTGTGCATAACCCATCAGGATGGAATGTGTTAAGGAATAGAATCTGGCTGTGACAGCAAATTCTATTTTCACTATTTGGATGAAGTTGGAATACTATTAGTGCTTCTCCCCTGTGTCTCAGAATTATTTTAAATACAAGTTAGATTTAAGAAGTCTATAAATAGAAATCTATTGTACAACTAACAACAAAAACAATAATAGCAAAAGAAGATGTATTGTTAATGGTCCACCCCCTCCACTTCACCTTTTGCTCTATGAAAACAGCCAAACACTGAGACATTACAACAGTCTGAGAGACATGTGTGGGCAGGGGAAACCCCACCTTTACTCCTATCATTCATATTCTTCTTTTAAGGCTATTCACAGTAGGACAGAGAAGAAATACCAGGACAGTAGATGTTTAGTGGGTGCTGACCAGGGTCCAGGTGTTCTCCAATGTGGTGGATTCTCATAGGACCCAAACATGTAGCAACCATCATGCACACTTTTCAGGTACGAAAACTAAGGCATGAGGAGATTGAGGAACTTGCCCAAAGCTGCACTCTTGACAAGAAATGGAGCTGGGTTTGAAACCACTCGAAACAGCCTTCTTATGTATGATATGTACTCTCTGCCTACAGAATATGCACCAGGAATGCCCTGAGTGTGCCCTGGTCTAGCAGTCTAGGCACAAGCTTGTAGTTCTTGCCTGTGATATTGTGTTGGCCCCAAAAGACTCTTTGTGCATACTTCAAAAGACTCTCTGTCATCCAGTGCCAAAAGTCAGGGAGCCCATATCAGTCAGCTTTGTATCACTGTGACCAAAATACCTGACAAGAACAACCTAGAGGAACAAAAGTGTATTTTTGGTTCTCAGTTTGAGAGATTTAATCCATGGCTGATGAAATCCATTGCTTTGGGCCCAAAGTAAGGCAGAACATTATGGCAGAAGGGCATGGCAGAGAGAAGCTACTTGGCTCATGGCAGCCAGGAAGCAAAGAGAGCACAGGGAAGAAGACTTCCAGAGCATGTTCTAGGTGATCCACCTCCTCCAACCATGCCCCACCTGCCTACAGTTACAACCCAGTCAGTACATTCAGACTAGGATAGACTAATTAGGTTACAGCCTTCATAATCTAAACATTGCACCTCTGAATATTCCTGCATTAACATAGGGACTTTGGGGGGACATTGCCTATCCAAACCACATCAGAGCCAGATTCCATTTCTGACCCTGATACACAACTCATCCATACTCCCTACTTTTCCACAGTTTCAGAAGAGGGTACAAGGTACACAAGGCTCCTCCAGGCTCTGTAGCCTTGGCACCCTTCAGGTAGCTCATGTTGCAGATGCACCTCACCCTGTTCCTCATGCCCCAGCAGCATCTGCTATGAAGATTTCCTTTTCTTTTCTTCCTTCTTCTTCTTCTTTTTTTTTTTTTTGACTCATACCTAGGGACTCCTTTCTTCTTCTTTCTTTCTTTCTTTCTTTCTAATACAAGGTCTCACTAAATTGCTTAGGGTCTTGCTAAATTGAACCTGCAATTGAACCTGCCTTGAACCTGCAATTCTCCCTACCTCAGCACCCCGCCAAGATTACAGGCATGAGTCACTGTGCCCAGCCCAACTGCCCTTTTCAGAGTCCACCTTGCTCTCACTGCCATGGTCATCCTCTTTTGTCACATTATCTGAGAAACCTTCTGTGGCTCCCACATGCTCCCACCCTTCCTCTGTGATCCCAGACACTTGTATTTATTTTCCTATTGGGTTAGTGGTGACCTTCACTGGGTTTCAGCAGCACTGCATGCAAAAGATCATTTTCTCATACTGAGGCACCCTGTACAACATGTTCCCTTGGATGCTGTCTCATGGCAGTTCTTGGCATGGGATAGATACATCATTATTTATTGACTTTCTGAGTGCATAAATGAATGCTCAGCTTCCAGGCCCCCCCAGGACTCTAGAAATACTATGTTTGTAAATTCATGATATTCTATCCATCAAGTTCATTTACATGAATTGTTTACCCCACAGGTCCAATATTCATGTAAGATAGTAATGTATTTATCTTATTAAATGCTGCTTATTTTGCTCAAATTGTTTGCATATGTTGGGGAGGGAGCAGAATCAGGAAGCATTAGGAGGGAATCTCTGAAATAGAAATGGGAAAGATTCCCAGGATTCTCAGGTTAGACAGGACAACAGGAAAGACTTTCCCAGGCAAGGGAGAGGGCTAAATGGGCAGAGAGGACAGCAAAGGAGGAGAGTTGAGGATGATGGGACCCAGCATCTCTGCATTGGGTCCAGAGGTGTTATGCAGAGGGGCCAGTCTAGAGTCTCCCCTAGAGTCTAGCATTAAAGGGGAAAGTCTCTGTTCTCTTCCTTCTACCTTAATCTGAAGTTCCCCTTGTCCCATTCCCCTAAACACTAACACCACCTAGAATGATGCAAATGCTGTCTCCTTCCTGGTGGTGAGAGTATCTCCCCTAGGAGCCATGATGTAAATGGGACCAGAGGAAAGGAAAGACATACTTAAGGAGTGACTATAAAAGGGTGGAGCACTGCTAGACCACCTTTATTCAAAGGGTCCCTTGTATGGCAGAAACTTGAAAAGGGTTTGTCCTTAACTATTGTGTTGTACAGTGCTATCACACTAGTGCTCCCCAACCCAAGGCTCCATGAAGAGCAGTGGGCAGCTTCCAGTCCTTTTCTATGAAAGGCCACCTCCATGTCCAAAACATCTGACCCTGTTCCCTCCATTGCTGCCCCAGCTACCCAGGGAGGAAGCTGGGGCCCCCTACCCAGGAAATTACTTCTAAACCTGTCAAAGTCTTGGTGGGGCTGTGCTGGGGCTCAAGGAGGCCACAGCCTCAGAGGTGCGGTTAACAAAAGCCAGGTTCCTTAATACCAGCTCTACCTTGAAAACAATTTTCCATGGCAAACTTCTCATTTTCAGCAATTCTGCACCTGTGTCAAGCAGCAGAGCTTCGGTAGGGGGCTCTGCCTGTCCCTGTCTAACAGGAAGTGTCAGTGAGCTCAAACTGGAGTTTGGGGGCAGAGGAAAACCAATGCTGGTCTTCATGCCCTTCCTGACCACCCTCCTCCTCAGGCACATTCAGAGACCTGGTTTGAAGACCCTCAGATGATCCAACGCTGGTGCAAGGTGGGGATTCTCAGGCTCTGGTACCTGCTGCCTCTACTGTGTACAGAAGACCTGAGGAGGTAGGGTTTGCTTTCTTTGAGGGCACCTGTGTTTCTGCATGTGCATCTCCATTTCCTGTGGTCACCCTACTTCAACTCCACCGAGTTCACAATGAAAAGGTCAGAGCCCCCTACCGCAGGGACCCACAGTTGTCTGGTCAGCAGGAAAGGGGAAATTGGAACACCTCTGCCCACCTGGAACAGACCACCATGTCGGACCTGGAACAGACCACCATGTCGGTAGGGGCCTCCGGTTTTGCCTATATGAAATGGTTTTGACCATGGGACAGTTCTTCCAGAAAATTAAAGGGGCAGGGAGAGAGGATCTCAAATTCAGGGCAAATAACTGCATTTTCAGGCCCATCCTGGACGCCTCGTTAGCCAAATGGAGATCTGCACTAGACATCCATCCCTTTTCACTCTCGTGAAGACCTGTCCCATGGTTAAACCCATTTCATAGAGCAGGAACCTGAGGCTCCTACAGGCTTGGTGGTGAATTACAGGTTTGTCCAGGACGGAGCATCGCGGTCCTAATTTCATCTTTTCCCATTCAGCTGCAGGTCCTAGAGAGTAATGAAAGGGTTGGGGAGCACACAACCTGAGATCACGATGGTGGCAGAGGGAAAACCAAAGGAGGATTTGGGGATTGGGCTAGAGATCCGAGGGTTGGGGGTGGAGCTGGAAACCTAGAGAGGGCAAACGAGGTGGGAAAACGGGGCGGGGCCCAGAAAGGGCTACGGGGCGGAACGTGGGGCACGCAGGACCGGTGGGTTGAGAGGGGCACCAGCCGAGAGGTGGTGGAACTGGCGGAGGCAGTGGGACCAGCCCGGCTCCCGCAATCCTGGGGCGCGGTGCGGGGATGGGCGGGCGCTCAGCGCTGTGCTTCTCGCCTGCTGGTTAGGCGGAGCAGGCTGAGAGCCGCGCGTCTGCGCGCGAGACCCCCGGGTCCCGCCGCCTGCGGTTTCTCGCGCTGCGCTCGCTCCACCACGCTCCGCCGCTGGGGTGGGCATCCCCAGACATGAGCGCCCCCGCGACGCTGCCCCCCGGGGGCGAAGAAGGGCTCGAGACCACCTGGCCCCCGGCGGCTAACGCTAGTCGCGTCCCGGCAGAGGAGGAGGAGGATACGCGGTCCGACGGCACCGGGACGGCTGGCATGGTCACCATCCAGAGCATCTACGCGCTAGTGTGCTTGGTGGGTCTGGTGGGCAACGCCTTGGTTATCTTCGTGATCCTTCGCTACGCCAAAATGAAGACGGCCACCAACATCTACCTGCTCAACCTTGCCATCGCCGATGAGCTCTTCATGCTGAGCGTGCCTTTTGTGGCCTCATCAGCCGCCCTGCGCCACTGGCCCTTCGGGTCGGTGTTGTGCCGCGCGGTGCTCAGTGTGGACGGCCTCAACATGTTTACTAGTGTTTTCTGTCTGACCGTGCTCAGTGTGGACCGTTACGTCGCGGTGGTGCACCCTTTGCGAGCCGCCACCTATCGGCGTCCCAGCGTGGCCAAGCTGATTAACTTGGGCGTGTGGTTAGCATCCTTGCTGGTCACCCTGCCCATCGCGGTCTTCGCAGACACCAGGCCGGCTCGGGGCGGCCAGGCAGTGGCTTGCAACCTGCACTGGCCTCACCCGGCCTGGTCGGCAGTCTTCGTGGTCTACACCTTTTTGCTGGGCTTCCTGCTACCGGTTCTGGCCATTGGCCTGTGCTATCTGCTCATTGTGGGCAAAATGAGAGCTGTGGCACTGAGGGCTGGCTGGCAGCAGCGGAGGCGCTCGGAAAAGAAGATCACTAGATTAGTGCTGATGGTAGTGGCAGTCTTTGTGCTCTGCTGGATGCCTTTCTATGTGGTACAGCTCCTGAACCTGTTTGTCACCAGCCTTGATTCCACTGTCAACCATGTGTCCCTCATCCTCAGCTATGCCAACAGCTGTGCCAACCCCATTCTCTATGGCTTCCTCTCTGACAACTTCCGTCGCTCCTTCCAGAGGGTTCTCTGCCTGCGCTGCTGCCTCCTGGATGCTGCTGGGGGCGCTGAGGAAGAGCCCCTGGACTACTATGCCACTGCTCTCAAGAGTAGAGGTGCGGCAGGATGCATATGCCCCCCACTCCCCTGCCAGCAGGAGCCTGTTCAAGCAGAACCCAGCCGCAAGCACGCCGCCCTCACTGGGACCACCACTTTCTGAAGACCCTTTTCACCTTCCACCCAGCCTGGCCACCTCTTTCAGGGGCTGAACCACCTGTACAGCCCAGCAACTGCACCTCCTGGATGCTCACCTAAAGAACAACCACCTCTTCCCACTTAAGCCCTCTCCTCCCAGCAGTGTGTGACATCCACAAGAGCACTGAACTCCTCTACTGTTCCCCTCTCCCCAGGACTCTTGCTTTCAGGAGAACGCCGTAATGGGGGTAGGACTTCTCTGGGAACTGGGCTAGGGTGTTGACCATTTTGGAGCCTCTGTCTATTTTTGGAGGGGTGGGAAGCAGGAGGTGGCTATAGGGGAATAGCCACCTGTGTGTGACTTATTGCAGTGACTGCTTGGAAGACGACTCAGAAAAGTAGAGGCAGGCAGTAGCCCTTGCTTTTAGCAGGCTTTTTGCCTTGTGATGGGAATCTAGCATGTGCAGAGAGAGAAGCAAGGAAGAACACTTCCAAGCATATTCCCTTTGCCTGTTCCTGGGCTCCCGTTGCTAAGTGAGATTTCTGTGCAACAGCCTGAGGCACTTGTTCTGTGCACCACCTCCCCACCATCCCCTGACCTGACACCTGCTTGTAATCATAAGTGTCCAGATTGGTATCCAGGGCTAGTAGCAGGTTTCCTGTGAGTGAAAAAGGTTTGTAAAGACATGCTGCAGGGTTTGCTACAAGGCATAAAGCCAGGTCAGTAATAAAAAAGCAGAGGATAAAATCACATCTAGCTCCTATGATGTGTTTTTTCCCCCCCTGATCCTTGGGTGTGGGAATGTGAGACCTCATTATATCCCCAATTTATACCATGGTGGAAAATGGGAGGGGACAGGAAAAGAACAGAGTGAAGGGAAGTCAGCCCACATTTTGAAAGAGGAGCAGCTCTGTCACTCACTATTTGAAAATATCAACATTCAGTAAAACATCAGCAGGATGTAGCTATTAAATGCAGACTGAACACAGTAAAAGGCTGTGACTTTGTGTCTGGTAGGTTAACCAAAGCGTGGGTTATTTTTTGCTAAAATGAAAAGGCTGCTTGTAAGCAGCTTTCCCTCTGATAAAAGCAGAGCAAGGGGCTGAGAAAATACTTGTAACACTTAGGTTGGTATCTGGAGTGAGAATATGTGATTACACAGGGTCTGAAGTGCTTTTTGGGAGACCCCCCACCTGGCTTAACCTAGCAAAAGATACTTTTAGGTTTGTTTGGGACTGTCCTGATGAGCCAGAAAGATATGTCAGGTGGGAGGGGGAAGAACAGTCCAAGGGTGAGCCCCTTTGTATTTCACAGTATCCTTGCAGCAAGTGCCCACAGCTTCCTGGCAGAGGTCTTTAAGAGAAAACACCCTGGTCCTCTCAGCCTCACAGCCTTAAAGTCATGACTGTGTGTCTTCTAGGGCAGCTAGCACATGTTCCAGAAATGGGTACAGTGGAGCTGCTTGGAGACTAATGAGGGTCCACGCAGGGCCAGGAGGCAGGGCAAGAAGCCCAGATCCGGGTGCCTACTGCCACCTGGATCTTGGCTTCTCTTTAAGAGCCTGTAAAAGCAGGTGATGGCACTCTCCTGAGGATTCTGCACAGGAGCCAGAGTTTTATGTGATATGAGCAGCTGGCTGGTATGCAGAATCACGTAAGAGAGCCGAGTTCTGGTCTCAAGCAAAAATGTCATAAAACTCAGGCAGGGAACTCAACCCCTGATCCTCAGAGTTCCCACCTGGAAAATCAGCAGATCTTTCTAGTACTGGCACAGGATGACTCCTGGGGATTTCACCTTACACTTTTTTTTAATCTATGAGACTATAGATTCCACTTCTTTCTTTTAAAATTAAAAATAAAAGGTTTAGGTCAACTGTCTTTGGACATGTAACCTCTGGATACTTATCCCCTCCAAATGGTCAGCCAGCAGAATGCTCAAAGAGTGTCAATCAGCATTGGCTGATGTGGAGGGCTAGGTAGTCAAGGAGGGCTGGAGGGTCATTAAGGTCTGCACATTCTGGTGATCTTCATCTACTCCAGATATGAACAAGTCTCCACTGTATTCTAGAGCTTTTTGATCCCACACATATTTATAGGCACATGCATACATGCAGCACACACATATATGCACAGACACAAGCAGCTATCTCTAACCTGTCTGTACCCTCCAGAATCACTCTGGGCATCCAGAATCAGTCAGTTCCCAAGTCTGTGCCTCATGTAACCATAATTTCTTGAACATCTTTAAAACTGAACTATTTCTTTGTTCTCCAGTGCCTGGTGGGGACACTTTATAAATGTGCTTAGATCACACTGCAAGAACCACAGAGATTGATGGCAATGAAGTGTATGGCTCCTGGTACTGGCAACAATCCCAGTAGGTGGGGGTTCTGGGCCTTTGCCACAACTTGGGTGGGTCAGCCTTCCAGTGACAGAGAGGAGCACAGACCAAGAGTCTTAGTAATACTCATACATAGCTGCCCAGGTTACAACAGAATTGGACACATTCAATATTTAAAACACAGCCTTTTAACTTAGGTGATGATGGTTGACGGAGAGGCAGCTTCCAGAGATGGGGAGGAAAGTCACCAACAATAGGGACCTCGGCTACCGCCTGGACCCATGAGCAGGGATTTAAGCTCACTAAGCCTCCGCTGTTCCTGCTTGAAATATGCACAAAGTGATGTTTTGAGTTTTGAGCTCTTCCCAGACATGAACTCTTTTTCTTATACACTGGAGAGATGGAGAGAGTGGTAGGCAGCATTCTTTCATACTTAACTCTCTTTCCATCACTTGTGAAACGTGTATTCACACTGCCCTCCACACTTTAGTAATAAATCATGCAGGGGCAGAAGGAGATTCCTACTGACTATTCTCTTCACTAGCTGAAGAGCCTTTTTTCAATTCTCAGGGATGAACAACTGAACAGCACCAAGACATCCTGAGCATGGGTTTGGAGTCCTGCCACTTTGTGCTAGTGGCCATCAATCCCAAGATCCTTGTAACAACTGGTTGTACAACCTTGTCCCCCTTCTTTATGTGCAAACCTGAAGTGAATTAAAGGCAGTGAGCTATATGGCCAGGGTCCTGAAAGCCACTTACTTTTTTTATATTCCACAGCCTTGGAGGTAGCAATGGAGGTGCACTTTGATGATGGTCTCCCTCTGCTTGCTAGGACTAGAAGTCACAGTTTAAGATTTCAACATGAATAGGAATATTTTCTACCTCAGGTACAAACAGTCTTTGACCCACCCTTCAATACATCAGAGAATTTGCTTTGCCTTTAAATTGCTTTTAATTTATTGTACTATTGCAAGCCAGATGTTCAGCTATCCCAGATAGCAGAGAAAATGGTATTTGAACTTGACAGATGAATTTCATCAGAGCTCTTGCCCAGTTAGTTGGCACTCTATCTTTGAGCAAAGAGGGATAGCATTTAACTCTCATCTTGAAATTTATGGATGCACATCCATTAAAAAATATCATACCTGGCATTCCTCAGGTCCCAAAGGCTGATACAAAGAAAAAAAAAAAAACAAATGTGACATATTTTTGCTATGTTGCCTCAGAAACCTAATGTGAATCCTAGCAAATTTCAGCACTGAAACTCTTCTCTGATGAGTTATAGGTTATGAATCACCCCCATTTTTCACTTTATCATTCCTAAGGATGTGACAGCATAGTTTCAGATTTCTTAAGCTCAAATGTCAGAATCTTAAGGCAGTGTTGGCTGTGACACCTCTATATGGTAGTCAAGATTACACCTTGAATCTGAAAACTTTGCTCTATGTGCAGATCGGGGTGCCCTTGGACAGTGAGCCAAGTACTTCTCTCAGGCAAGGCAATCAACTTCAAGATAACACAATGAATCTACAGAGGCAGGAGCCCAGACATTATGGAGTGTGGAGATTAGTGTAAAAGGTAGGCATTCATCAAATGACCACAGAAGTGAAGGTACAATTCCATTCTTAGCTGAAGTAAAACATATACAGGAAAGGAATCTGGCTTTTATGAAATGATATAATAAAGACTTCCCTGGTATCAGAGCAGGTATCCCTGGAGAAGGTCGCTGGAAACACCCTCCTTCAAAGAACGTGGGAATTAACAAGGAGAGGAAGGATGTGCAGTGCAAGATTCTAAGCAGAGGGAGCAGGATATGCAAAGGACCTGCAGTGGGAACTATTAAAATGTCTTCATGTAACTGAAACAGACTCAACAGTAGCTGGCGATGCTGGTTCATCTGGAGGTGCTGGCAGATACAAAGGGGGAAAAGTCTGTCCAGCAGCATCTTAAGGATTTAGTACTTTGTCCCAAGATCCAAGGAACAGCAGTGACAAATTCTAGTGAGAGGGCTGGGGATATAGTTCAGTTGGTAGAGTGCTTGCCTCATATGCACAAGGATCTCAGTTCAATCCCAGCACCACACACATTTAAAAAAAAAAAAAAAACTCAAGTGAGAGATTTGGGTCTATGTGGCAAGAGAAGTCCCTCATGGGGTCTCGTATCCTTGCACAATTGGGGCACAGGTGTCTCCACGTTTCTGGAAGGGATTAGCAGGATGATGTCATTTTTTAAAAACTTCATTAACTTTGAATCCACTGAAAATCAGAGTTCCCAGCCGAATGGGATTGACTTAATGTCTAACAGCAGAAGGCTGCCCCAGGTCATTGCTGTCACAGAATGGACATGCACCAGAGAAGGTGAGAGAATAGACCAGGGACAAGTCCCAGCTCTCCCACTTGGCAGCTTTGCATGACTCCTGGAAAGCATCATGGCTCTCTGGAGAGGGCAGAACAATAATATTCAACAGTGGTGCTCAATGACACCCAAAGGGCCTTCTGCCTGGCTTAGAGGAGCAAAGCTCACCAAACCACAGATGAAGAGGAACCTGGAGTGTTACCGAGATTGTGTGTGGTGTGTGTGTGTGTGTGTATGTGTGTGTGAGAGAGAGAGAGAGAGAGAGAGAGAGTGATCATTTAAACTAGTCTTTCTATAGCCATTCTGAACAGACTGTGATTCCTTTTAAATCTATTTTTATTCAAATCTAATTTGCATATGGTAAAATTTGCTGTTTTTAGGTGTACAGTTCTATGAATTTTGACATATAGTTATGATTTTGTAGCTGCCACCCCAATCAAGAGAGGGACTATTTCTGTCACCAGCTACTTCCTACTCAGTGACTTTCAGTTGCAGTCTGAGGAGGCGGGGCACAGATCGAATTGGGAGAACCGGAGGAGTATAGAATTGGGATGATGCTTTCCCAATGTCCAGCAAATTTCCCTCATTATACCATTCCTTGAACTCCTACCACCAGCCTGAGGAGTCTCAACCCTTTGACTCAGGAAGATGCTGCTTTCATTTCCTAAATTAGATTTTTGTTTTTGGTTTAAGCACTGAGCTACATCCTCAAACCTTATTTTGAAACAGGGTCTCACTAAGTTGCTTAGGGCTGGCCTTGAACTTGGGATCCTCTTGCCTCAGCCTCTCAAGTGGCTGGTATTACAAACATGTGACACAATGCCCTGCCACCTCCTGCACATATTCGGGCAAGGACTTGCTTCTGGGTTTGTGTCCCCTCCCGTTTTACCTTTGTTTTCTATGGTTGCTTACCGTGCTCTGGAGAGTTGCTGACAAACTGAAAAAAGAAGCCAGGACTCACCCCAGGCCTTTCCTAGGGTTTCCTTTCTTCTAGAATTACATGTTAATTTCCACAGGACCACCTCTTAGGTGAAAATATGAGAAGAAAGATGGGAGTCACATCTTGGCAAAGAAACACACACACACACACAAATGGTGTTTTGGGTTTATATCATGATTTCCAAACAAATGCATTAAAAAGAGGATTCTTATTATAAGGGTGATGGTGCCCGAGGATTCAGATGTCCAGTATCTTTGTGGAAGGTGAATTCCCTCTTCTCAGGGCAGGAGACTGGAGGAAGAAGGGAGAATTATGGAGGCTGTTGAAAAGCCCATCTCTTCCTTACTGAGTGGGATGAACGATTCCCAAGGCAGGGTAAATTAGTAGTTGGGGATGACCCCAGAGGGGGATATGAAGAGAATGATATTAGAGATGCTGCCATGGTTGGAAAATATAAAAAAGAAGATTTCTATAGCAGAATAATAATGGCTGTGAAATGTCTTGTGTGTGTGTGTGTGTGTGTGTGTGTGTGTATGATGGTGGTGGTGGGGATAGAACCCAGGGCCTTGTGCATGCAAGGCAAGTACTCTACCAACTAAGCTATCTCCCCAGCCCTGAAATTTCCTATTTTAACAGGAAATCTCTGAATCCTTGCACACCATCACCCTTATAATAACAGGTTGCAGGCAGAGGTTCAAGGAAACTCTGGACTATAGCCTAATTGGCATGATGGATACAGACCCCAACTTTGAATCCTAGTGCTTTTCATTAGATCACTGAAGCCCTCTGCTGTCTGCTCCCCCACCCTAATTCACTTTGAGTGATCAGATCCCCAGGGTTCTTTTGTCTTTTGCAATCACACTTTCAAAACAGGCTGAAAAGGATATTGATTCATTTAGAATCTGATGTTAAAACAATGTTTAGTTTTTCCTGGGAGAGGAAATGGACTGTTTGCCTACATTAGAACCTGCTGACCATGAATAAATGAAGGAAGGACTCACTTGATACAAAAAGATAGTCCAGAAACCAGGCATTCATTCTGGAATAGGAAGAAAGAAGAACTGGGTGTTGCCTGTATTACTTTATGTAGAAATGCCTGCATGCATCCAGGATATATTTTGGGAACTCCCCACCAAGTCAAGACCATGATGAAAATGTGCTTTTATATTCTTTGCAATCTTGGTCTTCCTTGATGATATAATGCACCCTTACTTAGCACAATAATAATGGGAGGCCCCAAAAGTTAAAAGTTGGAGACTTCTATCACTTGGCCCTATCCATACCTTAATGTCACACACTAGGGCCCCCTTTCACAGCTCCAGACAAGAGACCTGAGTTCTGTCTGGGCTGGCACCAGTCTCTCCTTTGGTCCTTGAGCAAGTGGGAAGAACACTTTGGAGGTGTTCTGCCCTTCTCTCTGATCTCCTTGGGAGGACAATGGAGGAAACTCTCCATCCCTGTTTTTGACTGGTCATATTAACAGAGAGTACAGACTAGAGCCTTCTACGCTAGATTTTACAGCTACTTCTCACCCAACACAAATATCTCCCTCCTTAAGTTGTGATTGATACCCCAAATCCCACCATTACTATTTCTCTAGGATGACAGCATCCCTTGTAAGTGACTGCATCTTGCCTTGAAAGAACACTTTATGCTTTCTACACAACCTTGGATTTGACACTTGAGATTCCAACACCACTTTATTTCTTTATTCACTTGCCCACCTACTAATTCTTTGAGCATGGATAATAGTTATGGGGTACCCTTTATGTCCCAGAAACTGTGCTCACTTGCCCTGTCTACTCTTCATAGAAACCTCTACCACCCCATTCATAGCCTTAGAGGGGTTAGGTGGTACCCATAGCCATGTGACCACTAGATGTCAGGCTTAGATCAAATCCCCACTGTCATCCTCCCCTCAATTGTTAGACCTACTGAGTGCTTACAGGAGGAACTCCAGGTTTCTTATTATCATTGGATACATGTTTATAAGTCTAGAAGCAGCTGTTATCTTTGCAAATAATTGTGGACCCCAAGATGCTCTTGTTAAAACTCCTTCAACAGCCCATTTTTACTAAGGGCACCATTTATCTGCACTGCTTTGCCCCATTCATTGAGACTTATTAAACTCCTGAATAGAAGCATTGCTTAACTTGCTACCTTCACAGGGCACTGTATGTAGTAGCTGCCCCCCTAGCACATGGCATAATAAAGCTGAATCTTAAATGGATACTGAGATCTCCAACTATCTTCCCACAATGACTCAGATTAACCCTGAGCAATTCAGCATGATCTAGATGTATAAAAACATTTGAATAATTGACTGAACTCAATTTTTCTCATTTCTGCTTTATAAAAACCTTCATGTCTATGCACGTAAAATTCAGTCAGCTCTGTCATTCTAGGAAAAGGGTCCAAGAGATCTGTATCATAAAGACAGTGTTTTTAATATCCAACATAAATGGGGAAGAATTAATAATGGCTGAGACCTTGGTAATAAGGAATGGTTATTTGAATTTGAGCCAAACACCCTTTCTGACTACTTTGGGTTTGAATACCTCAGAGATCAGATAATGCCAACCTTATTGCAGAATGACACACCCCTAGGATTCTGGAGATGCC